AAAAAAAAAAAAAAAAAAAAAAAAAAGAGTGACATATGAATGTCCCACCAGACATTCATGTAAGTAAAAATCTGGTTTTAATGACCTGAGTTTAACACTTAAACTCATATCACAAAGGAATACGAAGCATGCATTTCACAGTCTTAATAAAAACTGAATTTTCTTGGAATATGACTCCCTTGTGAAGCAAATGAATATTTTGCCTGACTGTCTTTTAAAACTTAGCCAAGAGACATTTACCATCTTGAAAAATCACTGTCTCATTGCTTGCGGTATTTGTGTCACCAAAATAATACACTGGAATTGGTCTTCATTTGTGCCTATCAATCCAAAGTGAAAATAGGCAAATGTTTCATTACTTTGTTATGTCTTTGAGTATAGTTGTGCACATGGATTTGCATATAAAATCCATATTTTATATCATATTACTTGCTGTTTTTCTTATAGATAAAGCACTATACAGAAATTTTTAAATTACAAGTATAGGTAGTATATGTTAATCATATCATTTATTTCAAAATAGTAAAAGACATGTTCCTTTTTTAAAAATACGTATAGAAAGAAACATTGGGTCAATAAGGCTGAGTATGAGGGAGATGGCAAAGTAGGAGGACGGTATTCTATGAAGTCCTTCTAAAGCTCTAATGTTTATAAAAATTATATGAGGGTCTTGTTAAAATATGGCTAGGATTTGGTGGTTCTGGGATAAGCCTAAGAGTCTGCGCTTCCAACAAGCTCTTAGGTGATGCTGCTGGGCTGTAGGCCTCACCTGGAAAAACAAATCTCTACATAAAAGGAGATTCAGATGCAAAGGTTTGGAGGTTTGGAAGAGCTTTTGTGGGAAACAGTCAGTAACTTGGTGTAATCAGAGCACAAAATACCAAGTGTTCCGTGGCAGGTATGAAATCAGACAGGGAAGTGGGTCAGAGCCTTCAGAAGTTTGTCCAACCTGTTTGACCTTCATTTGGGAGATGATAGTGTACCCTGCAAGGGTCTAAGCAGAACCACACAATCTTAGATCTCTGCACTACGTGGGATGGCTCTGCTGGATACAGAGAGTGTGATGAAGATATTTTTACAATTACGTTGTCAAGAATTCCTGAACATCTGAGTTGAATAAGCCACAGTCAAATGGAAGAAAGAGGAAGAGCTTCATTATTTAGAACTAGATTTCCTAAGATGTGACTGAATGTGGTGGTGGAGGTGAGGGGCCATCAAGGACGACTTGTAAGTTCCTGGCTTATGGTCTAGGTGTAGAAAGACACTGTGAAAACCATCAGACATATATATATTCATGGTACCTCTTCAGTCAAAAAACAAAAAAGATATTCAATTGGACTAATATGAAGACTTTTATTAAGAATATATTTCACTGTAGCAAAAAAACCCCAAAAAACCAACAACACTGATATATGTATGTTCATTTGTCAAGCTCCAGTGGATTTCCAAGAGAAGGGAGGGGTGTGTGCAATCCCAAGTACTTGATTGTTCACCCAGGGATCAGGGTGAAAAGAAAAGGGCACTATTTATGTACTTATTTTATTACAGAAAGTGCATTAAGCATTAGAATCATCTGAGTGTCAGAGAATTAGAAAGCCTCCCCGACTTGATGTCCTGCACACATTTCCCCTGGCACGTGAAGCATGCTGTACTATGATGAATATTTACGATTCCTGCCTCTCCCCAGGCTTTGAGGTCCCACAGAGCAGGAGCAGGCTTTAGTCTCCTTCTATCACTGTGCCTGGAGCACATGAATGTCCATTGAAGTCTGTTGAACTGAACTGGTGTGCACAGTCAATAGTAGGTCTCTTACAAATACCACTGGTTGGAATAGCACCTAGGAGGTATAAACTAGTGTCAAAAGGAAGTAGATGCAGTCATGGACTAAATGATGGCTTAGAAAATTATAAACTTTTTTTTGGTACCAGGGATCGATAAAATTATAAACTTTAAACATATTATTTATATATACAACGTTTTGTAAAATGTGAGTTTCACAATGGATTTCCTCTCTTGAAATCCCTCATCATTAATATAATACTTAATTATTTAAATTTAATTTATTAGGAGTCAATACTTAATTTAAAATCCAATTTCTATTAGGATTTTAATAAATAATAACATTTAATAACTACCAATGACATTTTGGCATATAAAATACTGAATTCTAAACATAATTAATTTTTAAATAAAATCTAATGGAAACAATTTCTCCATACCTTGGCCAAGTTTTAGTTTTAGTTCTTATCCTTGATTCTTCTTGTATCACCCATGTCCTCTGCTTCCTGTCTCTCTTCATTATTATTTCTTTAGTGAGGTTTATGTGAAAGAAGATGGACTTCCTTCAGACTTACAGTAAATAGTGTGTGTGTGTGTGTGTGTGTGTGTGTGTGTGTGTGTAATTGACACTAGCAATTCTAATATACTGGAAGACATAAAACATCTGTAAAAAAGTATATTTGGGTTTGAACATTAAACTCTTGTTCTGAAGCAAGTGTTTAATTTAATTTTTTAAAGTGTTTAATTATATCATGGAGTAACAAATATCTAGAATGCTGTCTTCTGAGTTTTGTAATTCATATGATATATTAAAACAGGGTTCATCCACACTCACACATAAACACACACACACATTTATATTTCCCTAAATCTACTGCAATAGTTTGGATCTTTAAGGAAACTCAGATAAACCCATGTAAAACAGTACAAGCGTATTGTAAGGCCATGTTTCTCAGATGGAGGAAGCCATATATTAAGAGATAGGACAGTTGGCCAAGAATCATGGGAAGCAACTGAAACAGTGTTTCTTCAATCTTTAAATTATTTATTTTAATCAGTGGATTAATATTTTATATTAAGAAATGAGCACAGATATTTTAAGGAGGAAAATAAAAATTTTGCCATGAAATTTTAGAGATCAAAACAAATGTGAGACTGAAAAAAAAATGTTAAGCTTACAATAAGCTTCTTGGTCTATATCCCAGACTGCAAGTAGTACAAATTCTTTTCTTTCTGTTTCTTTGGTTAAGGGAAAAGTTAGACAAATGTTATGTAGTATCCACAGAGAAATAAGGACAATAGCAAGAGCTATGCAGCAGCTGATGTGGGAGACTGAAATTCTGTTCAAAGGACAGAATTAGCTCAAATGTCCAAGGTGGCTTGAGGAACTTAGCTGCGTGACCAGCCCTCAGCAGCAGAGTGCTTCATCCTCCGCCCTCAGGAAGGTTCTGTATGCCTGCTCCAACAGTTCTTATACCCACTACCCTACTATCCCTCCTACCCTCTGACTCTCTTTTGGTTTCTGTTATCTTACAGTTTTCAACTACTAATTTTATATCTGCTGTCCTAACGTAACTTCAACTGCCAACTTTCTTTCTGGATATCTTTTGCTTGTGCTCCATCTTCCAAATGCCTAAACCAATTTGTATATTAAACATAAAACTTCCCCAAAGAAGGGAAATGATTACTTCAGTTAATTACTATTATCCCTGTTTTGATATAGATTTTGTGCCAAGCAGCCCTAGCGAGCACCGGCCAGCTTGCATCTGCTTGCCGTTGAGTTCACTGTCTATTTCTGGCAACACTGGCTGTTGTGTAGATGGGATAAAGCAGTTTAAGGATTAAGGTCAGATCAGTTTATGGATTGACTACAGTCAGGTTTCCTCTGCAGAGGACTAGAAGTGCTGCAGAAATTCTGACTCATGCCTTTTCTAAACAGCCCCATCCCCACCCCCAGGTATGAAATTGATTTCCCTGGAAGGATGAATAACTATACAACCAGATACAGATTTGAAGGCTTTGAACTGAAACCAAAATTTAGGTAAAGTAATAAAGAAGTGTAAAGAACAGAATCTCCATTTAAAGGAATATCCTATGTAACATATGACCTGGTGGAAGGATTACTGCACAGACAAGCCAAGAAGAATCTGAAACTACAGGACTTTGCTAGGTTTTCTCAGCAAGTCTTTTAGCAATAAAATCTATGTAATGAAACATCCACAAAACCTGCAATGGGCAGTGTGGAGAGTTTCTGGATCCCTGGACACATGGAGGTTCCTGCGGTGTCGTGCACTTCCAGGCACGGAAGAAGGTGGAACCTCAGTACCTCTTCTCCCATCCCTGCTCTGTGCATCTCTTCACCTGTACTCTTTGTACTGCACTTACAAATAAACCTGAAAAGTAAGCAAATGTTTCTTTGAGTTCTGTGAGTCATTCAAGCAAATCAAACCTAAGGAGGGAGTTGTAGGAACCCTGATTTTTAGCAAGTCAGAAATGCAAGTAAAACAATCTAGAGCTTGTGACTGATATTCAAAGTGGGGTGCCCCCAGTCTGTGGGATCTGGTGCTATTTCCAGGTAGATGGTGTGAGAGTTTAATTGGATTAAGGGAGACCAGCTGGATTAGAGTGGACCAGCTGGTGTCCACTGCTACAGAACTGATTGCTTATTTGCTGGTGGTGAGAAATCCCTGCACCTTTTGAGATCACAGAATGCCTCTGTGTTTATTGCAATGAGAGATAAGAGAGAAAACAAG